TCATGTTTTGAAACACCACTCTCTGTGTTCGTGTCTGTGTTTGTGGATTTTCTGGATATCTTCCTTCACATCCTTGATTATCCTTTTCTGGTCACCTCATCTCGATTATCCTACTGTTTGTCATTATCCTTTCATTCTTCGATGCTCTTGGTTGGTCATATGAGGAGGGATGTTTTATATGCTAATTAAGGGAAGATATATGAATGTCTTCCATTATTGCATTTTGTTGATGCGGATATTTTTATTCTCTTTTTAGAATATATAATTATGCTGTCATCAGTAGCATATGATAGAAATATACATATGTGTAAACGTGCAGTTTGCAGCGGCATTTGCAAGTGAATCGTCGCTTTAATTACAGATATTCTTGATTGGGAATGAGGAGTTATGTGAGGAAAAGAAGAAACTGGCTAAAGAACAGCCTGCGGTGATTCGTGGTTGGGATTAAGGATGACTTTTAATGAATAGCGAGTGGGATTTGCATAGCATTTCGTGGTTCTCACAAGATCATTAGCATTGGTAGTTTTAGGTTGTGTCGCTTGTATCGTGACTGAGGATTTTTGACAACTTTTTGCAATTCGCATCTCTTCCGGACTTGAATGTTGATTCGGAGGGTTCTGAATATCCGTCTGGGTATATGGGGCCATTATGGATCTATTGAGGAGTTATGAGTGTTTTTCGCATCTTTATATGATTCTTGAACTTAAAATTCGTTAGTTTAGGGATCTGTCTGAGTAATATTTCGGATATTCCTTCGTGTTTTTTTGATATTTAAATGCAGGATTTGATTTGCAGTCGTGATCTTTGTTCTGGTTCATATTCTATTTTTTTAATCAAGTCATGATAGTTTGAATCGGTCATTGTTCGATTGATTGAATGTACTGTAATGCGATTAGATGAACGGAGTTGGAATTAATTTTTAATAATTGATAAGTTTGGTTTATATTGATGAATGATAGACATTTAGACGGAGTTGCAGCAGGAGATAAGATATGGCTTTGACAGGCGGATTAAGTTTGTAGAGCAGGGTGCTGATTATAGAATGCGGATTGAGGACAGGGACTGATGACGAAAGAAGGAAAGTTGCGATGAGAGAGTATATAAGAGACGGATCGAGCCAGAAAACTCATAAGATATAGAGGATTACAGAGGGATTAAGTAAAGCTCATTGCGGTGACAGAGTTGTGGTTGTCATCAGAGGGTTTAAGCTTTATTAATAATAGTATGGATATATGAGACGTCTACTGCCGGTGGTTCATAAGGTGAGTTGTCTTATTGATGCTATCTGCTTCTTACTTGCAGTTATTACTGGCAGCTGATGTAGGTACCATCATAAGATAGGGCGAAGCTGATCATAGGTATCACATAGGGCGAATCTGATCCGATATGAGCCGATCAGTTTGCTCTGATCGACTCATATCGGATCAGCTTCACCCTGTATGTGCTGAAGAACTGATTGTAAACTCAAAATAACCGCTGGGCAAGGCTGAACGGATTCTGCAATAGCTCGGAGGTAGAGCCCCAATCGGTAATTGCTGTGTCACGGGTTCGGTTCTCTTTCGCGAAGAGAAGTTTCACTCGAAACCGAGTAATGTACCGATGTCATTAATGCAGCTACAACATCATTGTGGTAGTGGTTGATTCCGAGATATTTTTAAAGTTTGGATCGAATTTTTTTCAGATGTTTCCTTGGGTAGGTATTTTTCATGGACATAGATTAGTTTATTAGGGAATGAAAGACGTCTTAGATGTGTCTTTGATGGAGACGAAATAAATTATCAGAGAAAGCGAGAGAGTGTGGATTTATATTACTGTCCTCTGTGTTGTTACTCGGCTTAATGGTGATAAATTGATTTTCATTAATCATGAAATTCGACCGTAGTATTTTGAAATGAATTCTCGTGCATCTCTCTTCATCTCTGCCTTCATGATATATCCGGTTCAAATGTTATCTTCTTTGATTGTTTCTGTCTTTTCGAAAAAAATTCCATGCACTCTGATGCTATCTCGTTCGATCCTTTTATCTTGTTGTCCTTTCATCCATTTAGGAATTCATTATTTAGTCATTTTTCTTTCTGTATTCTCGTGTCTTTCCGTTTCGCATTGTTCTATTCAATTGTTTTTCTCTTTGTCCTGTCATTAGCTAATAGAATGAGTATAAAGTGATTCAAGAGGACATAATCAAAGGTTTAATTACGGTATCCTTTCGTATTTGGGGTCTGAATTTGTTCATAGTATAATAGCTACGGTATATGTTTGGGATAAGTAAGGTACATTTTGAAAGAGATATCGTTTAGAGAGATTTTGAGGATTAAAGAATAAAATTTGAATATTTCATGAAGGTTGTTGCAGTGTACATTTTGAATTGATTATTGAGTATTCGGGAGAAACATCTGAAAATATAAATGTTGAATTACTAATGGTTCTAGAGATATGAACCCGTCTGTGAGTGGATTGGTTAGGAGCAGTTGAAACGAGTAATTGTGAATAGAAGTTGGGATTTGTGCACTTATCCTTCCAAGTCATCTGTCTCCTTTCTTCTCTTAGTTGATTCCTCTATTATCACTTGTCACTTACAGAGTTAATTTGTTGACATGTGATATGATTGAATGTATTTGTTTGATTGTATTCTAAATTATATCCAAGAAATCCAAGGATGTTATATCCAAGAAATCCAAAGATATTATATCCCAAAGATATTGTATTCAAGAAATCCACTCAATCACGAGCTACTTTTCATGAGGGTTGACAGTGTTCATTGCCATGATATTATTATAAGAAATTATTCGTTCCAAAAGAAATGAATAATCATATAAATTCAAATATAGTGATATGAGAGCATGTCAGAAATTGTGTGTGTCTGTCATCAACTTTGCATACGGAAAGGCTTTGAATTCAGCTTAACATCGGATGAATAAGAGTGAGTTAAGCGAGGGTAATGGAATTAGAATGTGCTTGTGTATATAAAAGCTATATGGCTGTCTTCTTCTATCTAGAATTAATATTAGCATCTTTTTAATTAGTATTCGATATTGCTCTTGTTTATGTTATCTTTGTATGGAATTTAATCAATGCGATATTTACATGCTTGTTTGGAGCACATTTTACATCTTAAGGGTTATGGTGATATGAATTATGATAGTTGTAATACCATAAGTTTAGACTTGTAATGTTCATCATAACAATGATAGAAACATTTGAATGGTTTAATAATTGATGGTGAATGAAGGTGATGNAAGTAATTGATGTCAAGGTCTTGCAAAGAACTATCCACAGAGGTGTGTTAATTGGCTAATAAGTTCATGCCGTTTCTTAATATCCATCCCATAATATCCCTGGAATGTGCCAAGAGTAATCATGTGCATTTATCCATTGCATCCATAAACAGATATACATTCATGTGTCTATACATAAGTATATGTGGATGTATGCATCCCATGGAACCCAAAAGCGAATCATTGAAAATCTTGTGATAATTGCATGTGAATGATGATGAGAGTGACGATTATTGAATGTGCTATTGATGGGATTCAATGCACATGGAGGGGACAGTAGTCATAGATGGAGAGTTGAGATTGCAGTTGAGTAGTTTTTGAGTTAGTTGGTTACTTTACGGCTGAATTCACTTCACTTACTTTATCTCACCTGATCATATCAAATTATCGCAAGTTAGTTCGGACACGTTTTGCTGAGCGAATGAATCACCCACTGATGTGCTACATGAATTCAGTATCGGACAAATGAGATTGCATTCGTTGCATGTGCTCGCATGTCGATTTTATCCATAACTTACTTATATCCACTCTGCGGTTGTTTATTGCATTTATCGTATATTGAACTTTTTTGTGATAATAGGTTATCATTCTGTATTCATCTCAGTTATGGATTCATGCTGATGCTGATTATTATGAAGTGTAGTTGAGGTATTAAGAATATCATTTTGAGGGATAGAAGATGGTTGCTGCATTTGAGATGAACAAAATTGAGTGTACTGCTTTAAAACTTTTGAGGTGGTTATTGAGGTGATCGGTTGCATTGTTTCAAGCAGTTCTTTTTTACATTTCATAATAGACATTATCATCGTTGTCATTATTATTGTCCACTCGCAAAACAATTTTTTATAGTGCTTTGTCTCATCGTTTCAATAGCGAATTGTTACAAACTCGTATGTCTTGTCAAGTCATTAGTCATTGCTGCTTTCAGTTTGTCTTTTACTGTTTTGATGTATTGCATGGTGTCATTTTGATGAATTAGTTGACGATTACGTGTTGATTAATAGCGTTTGATTAGAGAGGTGATTATGAAGAGGGATTGTTGTTTTATGATTGATTGAGATGATGCAGGAGGGATATTGCGATTGCGATAGACTTTTCTGGATATTACGGGATTTATTGGGAAGTTATGCCGTGATCCTTTAGTTGATGATAGTAGGAAGGATATTTGTTTAGTGGATAAGAGGTTGGATGAATGAATCATGTTTTTGAACTTGTGAGATCGATTGTAATCAAAGGCCTTTTGAAGGGTATATTTGATTATGGACTTGTAGATGTGTTGGTGAATATGAATATGAATGGATTTGTAGTCATCTTTCGTCTGGTGATTGATTCAATTACATCATACTGCAAATCAAAATCATTTTCATGATTGAATTTAGTTTAGTTTATGTGAAATGTTCACTTACAGTTAGTATTACATAGTAATGGTGCAGGAATGCTGACTAGTGATGTCTCTATACCACTTTTTTGAAAACTGTTCTATTCTGTTCGTTTGGGCTCAAAAACGGCTCTGTTCTGTTCAAACTGTTCCTTCCTGATTTGCTAACTGTTCTATTCTATACCATGGAACAGAACAGGAATAGAACAGTTTAACTGGAATAGAGACATCAATAGTGCTGACCGATTTGAGGCTTTCATTCAATCTTGCGATCATTATACTGAGGAGAGTTTTTGATATAAATTTGATAATTCCGATTCCGTCATATTTATTTGTAAGAAGCCATTATGTTGCATCCGATTGGTATAATTGTATTTGCAAACAGATCTGTGGTCATTGGTTTATTCTGAGTGAGGTTTATTAATTGAGAGTGACAGAAGATGATATCGATATCTGTTTGTAAAAAATGCGCATTTATATGATAAAGCATGATTAATAAATCACATCAATTAAGGATCGAATGTCGATACGGGAAATGTGGATGGTTTAAGTGTACAGGTGGATGATTCGGAAGAGAACGAAGAAGATAACGGTCAGAAGATGGCACCGAAGCCGTATGATGATCTCTTCATTGAACCTGCTGATGACTACGACGTGGTTTATGGAGACTACAATTCTACGTGAGTTGTAATTACAGTTGTAGGTTTTCGAGACGTTTATGCGATGTTCTATTCTTGATGTTTTATGCTGGATTACATGAATTTTTGAAGGTTTTCGTCATGTCTTTTTCTTGCTACAACAAACTGATGGTGCAACGGTTCTATAAGTTTACTATCATGTACATTTGTTTGTATTCATTTAATTGATCTCTTTTCACGAATCTAGTCTGAAATTCGACATCAGTTGGGAAGTGGGAATCAGGGTTTTGGTTATCTCTTTCTGGATTATTTTGGGTTTTGTGAGGGATTGAATCATTCACTGGGGCTGGACTGGCTCTGAGAGGGTTTAGATGATGCCTTGGGATTGGAGGAGAGCTTGATAGTAAGGAGATTTTGGTGATTTCAGATTGAGGGGAATTAATTCAGAATATTGCGGGAGTTGTATAGGGTGTGGGAAAGCAATGTGCATTCTTGCTAGAGTCTTGATTTGTTGTGAATGGTCATTGAATCGATATGATCAGTTACCACATAATAAATGACACGTGTAAAGATGATTTATCTACTTTTATGCTTTGCGACCATTTATCATTATTATTCATCCATTTATCCACTCTGATATCGCCTTTTAATTGTCTCTCCGTTGGATCTGTCTATCTTTCGACGTCCAAAGGATTATCTTCTGTCTGTGTTCGTGACTTTCAGCTTGGCCGTTCCCCGTCTATCGCTAGTGACCACTGCTGGTTTGGGGTTTGGTGTGAATGACTGTGTAAGATGACCCCGAGATACCTCAACAACTGACTGTGTAGGGGTTTGGGTCTGATTTGCCTATCTGGTTATCTCTGATCATTAAATCTCTATTCTTCATCCTCATCTAAAGTGACCAGTAAATGACCACCATTGCATCATATCACCACTATTTACTCTACTAAGCAGGACTAACTGACCACTTGATAGATTACAAGCTTGATGGATTAGAATGTATTCCATTCCCCTTTCTATCTAATTGCATCTCAGAGTTGTGTGTTATATAAATGTATTTTTCATTCTGTGTTCATATATCTCCAAATAGGCAAATCCGTCTCTCTATTTATCGTTATATCTGCGGACCAGAGGATGGATGAGGCGAGGCCAGTTAAGAGTGTAGTAATCTAGAATGAGTGAACGGATGCATAAAATAGTTTACTGAAGAGCATATATCTCATCATCGTGGTTTATGTCTATCCAAGCCATTATTCTTATCGCCATTACGATTATTTATGAGCTGTTTATGTCGCTTTGATCTTGATCTTGTCCTGGTGTGCTATTCGTATAAATCATTTTTATTGCTTGTAATTCGTTACTTTAATGACTTTTTGCACATATTGTTTAGTGCAGACAGCTGTTTGCTTTGAAATTTATAATTTGTTGAAATTGCAATTGGTTGATTTGTTACATTCACAATTTGAAATTGCAACTTGATTCGATCCTTATTCATATCTTTTTTCATTTTTCTTCTTTACTTTGAAAAACGAAACGAATGGAAACTTCTTAACTCATGATTTTTTTGATAGCATATCGTTTAAAATTTGTGGAATTATGCATAATATTATTTCTTTGCGATTCATGAGATTTAGTAATGTTCTTTGTTTTGTATAAGCTCGCGTATAAGCTTGAAGTGAGCAATTTGGTTGAGGTCTGGGGTATATGCATCATTTCAGTATAATGTTGTCACAAGCGCAGTTCCGCTCTCACTTCATTTAAATTCCATGCATTTGGCCCTTAAACTAGCCTATGCTCAATACTCAACTCATGTCCAATAGTAAATCTAGTTTAATAGTATGCGCTCGTTCATCCCCTCTTGGCTCTTTCACTTGTCTATGTTTGTATGAAAAATATGAGTAGGAATAAGCGAACTGAACTAAGACAAAAGAACTCAATAAAGAAGTAAGTTTTATGGACTGCGAAACTGCCAACACACAGAATGCAGTAGTTGTATGTGTTATGCAGTGACAGTGCTATGACAAGATGATTATAAATGGCTTTTGGGTGGATGGAATAAGGCAAAGAGAAGATGGATGGGGATGCGATGGTTGCTGCTTATGTAATGGATGTTGTTGTTATTTGTTGGTCACTATATTTATCGTTCTGCTAGCAGCACATAACCTTGAATTTGCTACTGCCTGGAATGAGCTTTTAAAACAGAGTACATTTATCTATCCACCTCATTTACTTATCTTCTATTTATCATTTTAACGATTCATCGTTTTTACTTAATTTATAGCATTTATCCTGAACAATTTTATGTATAATGAAACATCTGATGAGATTATTTATATGTGCTGTTTCGATTGATTATGCAGATGGATATGAGTTTTTTGTCATTTGATTAATTATGTTTTCATTTGATTAGTAATTAGTAATATCATTAGTGTTTATTTATGAGCAAATTGTGTGTAGTTCTCATTTGCCTGAAGATAATGTAATTGTTTTGGTAACAGTCTAGTGAATGGCTTTGAGCAAAACGTATTGACATTATATCGCACTTCATAATCGACAGAAATAGCCTCTGAGATAAATTCGTTATTTGTATTTGCGATGAGTTGAGTTGGGAGATCTCATATGTCCCTTTCTCGGCAAAGGCTATGTGCCTTCATATGACGACTTCATTTGTCTCTTGCTATTCGAATCGAACTTAAATGATTGATTCATTGTCCACATTCCTATATCTCATTAAGCTCATCCTCCTAAATAGCAAATTGCGATATCCTTGTATCCAGTACCGAGCTGGTTTAACGTTTAATTCTATCGTAATGTTTTCTATTAGTTGCGGATATATTAATTGCCCGAGTTGTGCTGCTGCCTTATTTCAGCTTTTTCATCCATATAAATCACTTTGTCTTTTTCGGTTACATCCTATTGATAGATCCGAGAAACTCAGTTTTGTTTTGGATTCTGGATTTTGTTTCGAATTGAGTTTTTTGTGTTGTACTTAAATTCGACAGGAATTGCGCACTCATACGGCCCAAGCTTATAAATCTGAGACAACTCATGATTACGTTGTGCGCTGAAAAAATGACAGAAGTCGTGATTAATTTTAGCCAAAATTTTGTTCACTTATTTTCAGTTGCCATATGAGAGACTAATTGGAGTTTTTCATATTATAGTGAACGTTTATTGTTTTTGGAATTTTGAATTTTAAAATGAAGAAACTTTTATGGTAGTTAAAGATGCAAACCTATTAAAAATGGTAAATTGGGGAATGTATTAGGTGTCATTTCATATTAGACTGATAATAAATCATCAGGAAGTATTTTGATAATGTCAGTAAAACAGAAAAAGTGTTGAAACCAGTTCACTTTTCAGAGACACGTAAATTCGTTTCAATGAATGCTTTTTGTCAATTGATGTTGATTATTGCATGAGAATTGGTGAATTGTTTCTTGATCTCGACATATATTGTAAGATAAATTTGAGTTTTATTAAACATTCGTAAGATATGTTAAGGAGTAATGAAGCATTCCGTCCTTTTGCGTAATGAGTCATGCTCGGTGTATATAATGTAATCGAAATATATAATTCCAATCTCGAAATTGAATGGTAATCGAATTTATTCGACAATGCACGCTTGTGATTATTTACCAGTTGTATTACATAATTGTGTCACATTTATCGATATCGATGCTATTGTTGTGAAACATTTTCGATATGCCCTGTCTATAAGACAATTACGATTCTGAGTAATTGATAACGTAATTAAACTCATAATTACTATCGTAAATTGAATAACGCAATCGTGTTCCATTGATGATAAATAGACTCATCTTATAAATATCACTCTTTGAAATGTATCGCCGCTGTCGTCTGTATTTGAGTGACTTGATAGTAAATAACTTGAAATATCACCATATGAAAATAAATAATGCAAAATAATAGTTTTGCGATTGGTTATGTCATTTGTGTAGATATTTACGAGTGCAGAAGTTTGAAAGTTCGTTGACATGATTATTATTATTGATATTGTTATCGTTGCTATATTACTATATGATATTAATGATGCTATAGGATGGAAGATGGGACGTCTACCTCGAAACGACCTTATATTCGACTGAACTCGTTTTTGAGTAACATCACAAAAAACTCGGGACAGGAAGTTCGGTTCAAATGTGAGGCAGCTGGTAACCCGTTACCTTTGCATTTCACGTAAGTATTATTTTTATTATGTAATATTGCGTGTGCTGTTATTATTATTTCATTATTGATTTATTAGGTATTTTTAGTATTATTATTATTTGCTCATTATATTTATTAACAGCTAATGCAAAGAAAATTTAATCGACTCTTTTGGTGTTTGAATAATTGAAGAAATGATGCTGGCGTTTAGTCGATTCAAAGTTTTTGAAAATGTTTATTTTTTCAAAAATATTTAACGGGTCGAACTAGACTGTTTGAAAGTATTGGCTTCAGGTGGTTGAAGAATCATGCACCGGTGGAGAAGAATCGCAAGACGCGCATAAAGAATCGAGAGTATTGGTCGAGATTGATAATAACGGATTTAGATGTGTTAGATAGTGGATATTATCAGTGTGTCGTGAAAAATAGTGTAGCGTCCGTGAATACAACTGCGGTGCTCAGGGTGCGTTCCTTCTTGCATGTCGATCGCTCTTCATTTTCGTTTCGTTTTATCTTCTATCTTCAACGTTTACCAGTTTCTTGTTTGTATTCGACTGAAAATTGCCACTTTTCTGCTAACATTCCTGACATTGATCTGTGTTTCTTTCCCAGTATCTTTCCCAGTAAGAGCGTTCTTTCTGAGTACCTCAACTCTTCGATCTCGCTCGCTCGTGCTAAACAAGTCTGGTCTGAAAATTCTGTTTGGTGATTGCTAAGATGTAGTATGCTTATTTTGTCTGGTGATATCGAATCAGAAATTACTTCTCATTGATGAATTATCTGTTAAAAGTATACCAATATCAGCTTATCACTGCAACATACTTCGAGCAGAAAAGAAAATTAGGAAATGAAAACGGTTTAGATGACCGGGGAGAGGGGAGGGGGAGGTACGGCAGTAGTTTAGCGCAGTCGGTTAATAACTCAATTCATGCACAGGCGATTAGCTGGAACTTTGTGAACGTTGTTAATTCGAGTCGCTTTGTTGACAAAGATTTTGCATATTTACTAATTTTAAGGTAAAGATTATACGCATTTCTAGATGATTATTGTATTTATCATTCATCTGATGCATTTATCAATGATATTAAGTGCGTATTAGCGTGTGTTTATTTATGGAATAAATAAACTGTTTATACGTATTGTATTTACTTTGGTAAGCATCTTATCTTGTGGTATAGAGTCAAGTAAACAGTCGGACCCTTGAAAATAATCTCTTTTAATCGTATATGGAATCTTTTGCTTATTTGTTTATGGACTATGTCTATTGAGTCGCTCGTCTCACTCAGCCTTATCCTTCCAAACCCGTGTTTGACAGAAACGGACGGTTCTAAATTCAAGAGGGTGAATTGAGTGAGTGGCTTTTGCCTTAATTCTATCTTAACTGTTGAGAAATATTTCGATATTTTGGTCGTTTTATTATCAAATGGTGGAAATGTTTTGAATTTAGATAGATGAACTATTGTGGAGCTAAGATTGAGTTTGTTCATGAAAAAATGATTAAATGAAGATCGATGACGGAATTATTGGAAATGTAGGGTTGAATAGCATTGACATCGACGTTTCATTGCAAAATTTTGAACTTTTGAGTGACTGTGAAGAGAAATTTTGTGAAAAATCTTGATGAGAAACAGTCTTTTTTTTGATATTGCTGATTCGGAGATTTGTTTCCCTACTGGAATGTATTTTTCGATTTTTGAAGAGAATCACCTGAATGTGCTTATTTGATTCGGTAAGTGGACAACTGTCGGTATTACTCGAATGGTTGTGTGGAAATGTGAGTTAAACAGTGTGTGCGGCAATATAAGTTGAGACTTAAACATAAATGGTGAGTATCGCATGCATTTGTTCTGATCTAATGATTGATATCAGATCAGCGATACTCGTTCTCATCGTCGTGTCGGGTTGAGTTAGATTTTTATCTTACGTCTTTAATTCGTGCATTCGTTTGCGTTGTTTTAGACAGCTTTGGATTGAGGTTGTATGAGGTGCTGAACGTAACAGAAGCACGCGAAACATATCATTGTTGCCATATTTTTGATTAATTGTTCGTTATCTCTGACAATATCTTTCAGAGTATTCTCTTTCTTTTTTTGATCGTTCATTTTTGTAAGCGCTATTTCTTAGTTCTTGTGTCTTATCAAAGACTTGTTTCAAGTTCATAAGTTTCTGGTAAAACCTCTAGAGGATTAATGAAATGTGCCTTTGAATTTTTCTTTGAGACTTTCGTCGAACTTTCATGGCTGTCCGAATTTTCCGAAAAACGACCACAAATTCATTGCAAATTCAAAAAACAGTTATGTTTTGTGACGGAATCACAAAAATCAGTTGTTTTGTGATGGGATTTGTGATGGAACAGTTTCTTTATTACAATTCCGTTGAAATTCTTGACACTCGGTTATAAACTCGATGGGAGTTAACGGAAAAATATCATGTAAATATGTGATCACATATAGGATTGTAGAGAGAGAGTTGTATGGTTGTTATGTTAAGTGAATAGCGAAATCAATAAATGATCTGTTATCATTTTGATGGAAAGAGATAAGAAATAATTGTTTGGTTTGGAGTTGATAGTGGTATTGTTATGGCTGCTTAGGTCGACTTTAGTATAAGTTATCAATGAACATTGGAGAATCGTGTTTCTTGTCGAATTGTTTCTATTATTATTGTCGTTGACTTTTGATGATGTTTCACGTGCAGCCTTTAGTTTGAAGATCCATTTGATGATGTTTCACGTGCAGCCTTTAGTTTGAAGATCAATGAAATGGAGTTTATGCTGCAATTGATTCGTCTGATGCAACTTCTCTTTATGATTTATCTTTAAAATTTCCTCGACTTAAATTTTAAAATTTAAAATTTTAAAATTCGCATTGATTTCATTCTTTTTCATTTATACGTACCTAAAAGTTGTCCTTTTTTGATTGAGTGGCCCTAATCACTTGTATTCATCTCTCTCACAATCAGTGAAATGCGAACATTTCGCTATAAATAAAACTAGCACGCCTACTGAATTAATTGATAGAATTAATTTTGTGTTATCTTGGTTTATCTCTTTGGCAAGTTGATTTGAATTTATGGATTTCGAGAAGCCTAAATTTTTTTCCCTGATGCAATATTATTTCCGGGTATTCTGCTTGAAATTATAAGAAGTTTTTGAAATTCCACAGAGTCAACCAGACGCTCCTGATATTCGAATCTCATTCTTGATAGCTTTTCCATTTTTCGATATGTCCTTTCAACCGTCACATGAAAGAGTTCTATGTAATTCATTTGTCATATTGTCATATTAATTGATATAATCTCTTGCTCCTCACATCTACTGATATATCTCTTTGATCCAATATCAGCATCTTGGGATATGAGCTGAGATCTCGAATAATATTTGTATAGTGCAGTAATAATTGTTGACGTGCATATCAGTCCTTGACCCTTCCCTATATTATCAGCTGTACATCTACGATCAGTCATGTTGGTGTTGTATTGTAAGAAAATGCCTAGTTCTTTACTAAGTTAGTGGCTTTTGAACAATATTGATGGCAGAAAGGTTAATGGTGATGATATTGACGTAAGATAAACTCTGATGCGTTCTTTATTGGATGAGTCGATTGGAAGGCAATAATAAGGATCTGAAAAGATGGATTACTAAAAGACATGCACTGAAGCTCGCATATTGATGGACAGTTTGTCAGCACTATAGGCTATCCTCGGTTCACAAATAGCAGCCAATTTATGAAACTGCTCTTGCCGTCTTTATCTTCTTGTTTGTGACTTATTTCTTTGTCTTTTTGCTGGCCCTATTGCGTTGCGTTCGAATCAACATCGCCTACTACCGCCCTATCTTATCCTTCATTATCCTGTCTGGTCACATTGGTGATGTGGTCAGATTAAATCCTCAATCAATCAATGCAGTGCCATTGGCTCAAGCTGTAATGCAACTGTTTCATCATTTCATCATTATAACTGGGGTTGGGTCGGATCGGGTTGGGGTCTGCGAGAGGAGCTCAGGCCTTCGACTCTAGTCCTCATTCTCGCAACCCCCATCCCCATCTCTGGGGTTCTCGGCCACTAACAAGGTCTGGCGATCGCCGAGGTTGATTTCACTCCTACGGTTGAATCGGGACTCGGGGACCACCAGCACTTTTGAGGTTTCAGGGGCTATGGGAATCCCATCGTTATTATATTGACGAGTGTTCAGTGCGATTCGATTGTTCAGAGATGAATCATCAAAATGTAAGCATGTAATGAACCGAATTTAAGTACATGCAAGCAAGCAAGCATCAAGCAGCATTCTGGTATTACTATGGCGTAAGATCATGCCCATGTTTCATGCTCTCATCTAAACGTTACTTTTGTTTGGATGAGTGGGTAGATATCCATCTATCTATATCAGTTATTTGAATGAGTGCTTACACCGGATGTTCATTTGGAAATGGAGAATGTAACGGATCGGTTTCGCTTTAGAGTCACATTGCTTTTTGCTGAGAAAATAACGTGTGCTTAGTGCTCTGTGTGTTGCCTTCATTCATCTATCGCTGTATCTGTCGATATTCGGTTATATGAGTAATGAATTTGTCAGTTCTGAGATTTTAAATCTTCGAAGTTTGTTTCTGGATAGATAGATAAATACATGCAGCTGTTCGTTCGTGTCATAGTGTATTGCACAGATCGCTGGTAAATGCGACTGTGTTGTTATTGTTAGTCTCTTATATCAGTGTTCAGAGATACTTAGCTCGAGTATATGGAATGTCATTGAAATTTTGAAATTAGAATTGGAATTATTCGCGTCATATGACACATTTACGGTATTAGTACTCATCGAAAAAGTGGAATTTTAGTCTTTAAGATTACTATTTCCGGTTTTTTGCTGCCTCCGTTTTTTTGAATGGCTGTTCGGGTTTTTTCACGATATTGCATTTATTTTGAATATGAATTCCAACTGTTTGGAGTGATATCGAATGGATATTTTGATGAAAGGGCGAGTGCTTATTAACAATTGAAACAAATAATTTGTTGGGCGAGTGAATCATCATGTAAATGAATTTAATTGATTAATGCCAATTGAATATTATTCACATTTATATTCATTATTTCTTCTACATGAATAACGTCTTTTTTATACAATGTAACGTATACCAATGTTATAAAAAGTGTATGCATAAGAGAAAATTGCTTATAGAGTGGCGAGTGACTGTTCGTTCTTCCTCTAGTAATGGTCAAATCTCCATGGAATTCTGAGGCTGTCTCCTCCTTGTATTGGTTCTATTTATGTAATTCAGTTTCGCTCTTTTCAATCCATATGCCCATATTTATGCATGGTCGTATTCGCTAAAGTCCTTGAGTTTTCGATTGTATTATATCGTCATGTATGGATTAGAAAACTGCGTATTGAGATCGAGTGATGTATCTATCGTTCATAATAATTTCGAAGTGCGGTTTTGGTCAATTTTTTGGTGTTGACTTCCAGTCATTGAGGTTATTAATTTTGGACTGAGGTTGTCATTTTGAAAATGATGTTAAGGTATTAGCGAGGATATAAAAGTGCTGTTGTATGAAAGCTTGTACAATTAAACTAACATAAGCTGCTATATCAAACGAAATCAATACGTTGTTTTGGATTGCTGGCTGCTGCTGTTCAGTATTATATCGTACAGGGAATATGCAGGAGGCAGGGTTGAGGTCATTCATATAAAGCATTCATATTCATTCATCATTAATTCATCATCAATGATGTTTTTATGAATATCCAATATTTGATCTTTTCTTATCCTCCATCTCTAATACGTACTCTAATCGTGCACGTATTGTCTTAATATTATTCAAAAACGATGATGATATCAGCAATCCATCAGCAGCACAACCAATGCGCATACTCCATCCACTCCTCGTAAACGAAACGATACACCAAAACACTGATATTGACATTTTATGCTGCTCTCTAATGCCCAGCACTGCACAGCACTACGCACATGATGAATTAGTGGGAATATAAGCCTGATTTTATCTGATCCTCGTTTTGTCTCATCTTTATCTCATCTTATCTCATTTTGATTGCTTCGATTCTCTTTAATAGAGTGCAGTTGTTAAAGAGTATATTGCTTTCGAAATATTGCGTTTTTTATCAAATAAGTGAATTTACATTGTGTTAATGAGTGAAATTACATTATTACCCCTCCTCACTCGTGTTTGAGTAAATCCGCTTTATAGTGTTTTAATAAGTAAAATTACTGGGAGGTTTTGTTTTTAATGGTATGACCGAGCGATTTCGGGATTGTCGCTCGTGAAGTGGATAGCTTTCACGTGCTGAATGGGTGTTTTTTCGAGATATCTATCGCCCGTATAGTGGGTGATAGATATCTCGAAAAAAAAA